TACATTTACTAAACAACTTAATTTAAATTATTTATAACTATTATTATTATTATTAAATAAATATTTAATTATGTTTGTCTAATGCATTTACACATTAATCTATAATTAATACATACAGTAAAATCTATTGTGTGTATAAATAATTGTTATATCAAAAAAATATATATTGTATAAACAACATTGTATTAGTCTATTATAATATATTAACAACAAATTAATGATAATWTTTTATTTATTTTTTCAACACATAATAAAATCAATCAAATAAAATCAAATTAATTTTATTTTGTTTTTATTTGTTTTTAAATATTAAACACCTAGTGTTGTTAATTTGTTAATTAAATTGCAATACATATGTATAGACAATAGAGTAAAACGATATAATATAAAATAAAATAAAAGTTTGTAATAAATTAGATTTAATTAAATTAATTAATTTTGTTGTTGTTGTTGTATATAAATATATAATTAATTTTTTCTGTATATATATATATAATAAAATTAACCATGCTAATCTAATTAAAAAAAATTTGTGTAAATTACATTTGTTTATTATTTAATTAAATAGTTTATTATTTCACAGTTTATGGTATGTAAACAATTTAATACAACAAAACTATATACAAAATAGAAACTAATATAAAAATTTGAAATATTTTATTATTTTTTAAATTTTTATTTAGTTGTGTTATTAAAAAATTATTTTTCAGTATAGAAAATAGTGTTTTTTAATATTTAATTTACGATAAAAACAAAATTTTTTATATTTATTATTTGTTTCTATTAATTGACATATAATTATTTATATATATATTAAATAATTATTTGAAAATAATTTAGTAGTTTCAATTAATAGTTTTATCTATGACAGTTATATAAATTGTGATTATAATATATATATATATATATATTATATTTCAATTGATACTTACAGTAGGTTTCAATTCAATATAAAAAAATTAAGTAAAGATTAGTGATTACATAATTTATTAATCAATATATAATATATATACAGTATATATATATATATATATATATATATATATATATATATATATATATATATATATATATATATATATGGTATATCGTATTGTTTATTACGTAAACTAATAAAAAAAAAGTTTTTATAAAATTTAATGATAAACTAATCAATAAAATATATAATCTATATTTGAATTCAATTGAAATTCAATATTTTAGTTTTGTTAAAAAAATTATTGTTATTATATCATTATTTATATCATCATTATATTTATATTAAATCATAATTATATTATTATTGTTATTATACGGTATATATAAAAAAATTTATTATCAATATGTATGAGATATATACGGTATATATTAAGTATGAAATTGTTATACAATTATTGAACATTACATTATTTTAGTATATTATATATACATAATAATAATAACAATAATGTCAATTATGAGGTAATGAATATATAGTGTGTRTATATATATATATAATTGTTATTTAGATAATATTATTATTGAATATTTTAATCCTTTAGCTGAGGACTGGTAGTCGAGGACATGGATGTAGAGGAGGAGGAGGAGGTGGTGGTGGAGGACATCATATCATAGTCTGTATAGTCGTTATCCTGTATGTCATTCATCCAGTTATCGGTGGCATTGAAAGCCGGATCAGCAAACAGTGTGCAAACAATATCTTTTCAAAAATAATCAATAATAATAATAATAATAATATAATTATAGATAATTAGATTAAAATAGGAAAAAATAATAATATTAAACCAAAAAAATAAAATAAAAAATATTAGATTACAAACGGAAATATTATATTTATTTTATTTATTTATTTTTTTTGCTTATAGTTTATATGTGTTTTACTTAATAAAGATATTATTTTTTTGTTTGATTATTAATTTATCTTTGTGTAATGTTTTTGTTGTTAAATAATTGTTTAATTAATGAAAATTAATTACTTAACAATTAATTATCAATGTATGTACAGTATATATATATATATATATATATAATATACATGTTTGTTTGTGTGGGTTAGTATTAAATGATTTTTTACTACAAAAAACATAAATACTAATAATATTAATAATTAAGTAAATATAACTAAACTAATTGTATGTTACAATATCATAGCTACTAATATATATATATATTACCTATTAATATCAAGTATACATGTATTTCACAATCAATAATAAAAATAAAATAGATTTAAATAACTTTAATATTTAGTGTATCACATAATAGTAACTAAATATTTTCAATTATTTTCATTTCATAAATTGTAATATAATATGAAAAAATGTTTACAAAAAAAATATTTTTATAAAATTTGAATATTGTATTTAAAAAAAAAATTATTTGTCATTTAACTAATGCATCATAAAATGTATTTATTTTGTATAATAATATATTTAATATTATTATTGAATATAATGGGACTAAACATATTACTAAATATTGTAAAATATAAATATTTAATATATATATATATAAGATTATA